ATGATTGTTATTAAGTACCTATAAAGCCAGACTGGCTGAAGTGGACTTGCCCAGAATATCTTTGTTCTGCCTGTTTGCAGACTCGCCTTTTCTATCCCAGGAATACTGCCTCAGTGTAACTGAGGGGTCTCATCCACCGGGCGAGGATGCTTTGGCCTGGATCTTGTGCTCCGTGGAGGGCTGCCTGGGATGACTGGAGGGGTGGATGCATCTGTTGGGGAAGGGTTGTGTGTCCTGGGCAGTAACGGTCTTTTCTCAGGTCAAGTCTCTCCAGTTTGTTCCTGCTGGCGTTCCTGCTAGTCACTAATGCCTGAGCATAGCACACAGAATAGGCTTGTGTGGAGGGAAGGGGATTATGTATCGCGCTTAGAAAAATATAGGGTATTTCTGGTGCTTGTTTAGGTTGTTTTCAGCACGCCTTTCCTGGACAGGTGGTAGGCATCATTTTAATGCTTGATACAAATTGTTTTGGGACTGAGGCTTTGCTCTTAACTTGTGAAATGCTCGTCACTGCGTTTCATAATGTCCCACTAAACATCCTGTTCTGCATCCCAGTCCTGCAAATCCCAGCACGGTGGCTTCTCTTGCCCACAGTGAGATCTTGCAAGCAGCCCTGGCTGACGTTGTATTTCTGGTGAGAAATTCCAGACATTTTGTAGGCTGAACTGACTTTCAGTGCAGGGGATATTATCACTGTGTTTGGATCCATGGATGATGACGGATTCTATTATGTAAGTACTGGTGTCAGGAAAATCCAGGGGCTACATATGAAATAGTTGGGGTCCATCTAGTGGCAGGAGAGCAGAAATGAGGGGATGAAATATTCTGTTTGTGGAACAAGTGAACACATTGCCAGTTATTGTAGGGCAGATTGTTGCAGTCTCTTCTTCCAAATCCAATATTCAAACAGTTCTGAGGGTTTTCTTTTCTTTTTTCTTCTTTATATAACTTTACTGTGGGGATCCTGAATCCTAGGATGCATCTTACTGCACATATATCAGCCGCATCAGCATCTGCTACAAGCTGATTTGTTACCAAGGTCTCTGACACATGGGTATTATCCAGGGCAGGAGCATTATTTAAAAAAAAAAAAAAAAAAGTGCCAACCCTTATTCTGCCACATTTCAGCATATCAACTTTTATCAGTTTAATTTACTGTGGATACATGGGGGCTCTGCCTGCCAGAGAGCTATATTGTGCAGGATTCTTAGTTCTTGGATCAACCATCTTTTCCCAGAAAGAAAGCAGTGTATGTTCACACATCAGGTTGAGGTTCACCTCCAGGTGAAGTCTGAAGGGATTATTGTGAATGTCTTGTTTGACCAAATACTGTGAAAGAAGTCAAACAACAATGTTAAGGGAGTTGTTTTTTCTCACCCAATCACCTCTTGATAGACTGGGGACAGTTTTTTAGAGAGAAACTGCAAAGTAGGTTTGTATTCACTGTGAAAAAGAGAATGCTACAGGACGATTGTACCAGTAATACCTCACTCTTTAAACAAAACAGAAAAGAAAGATAGAAAAAGACAAAAGAAAGATCAGGGCAAAGCAAAGGCCCTTAGTAAGTCTATGTCACAGTCTTGTTCCAGTTGCTTCCAGCTTATCAGTGAAAAGTTTTTGAATTTGTAGAGTGCAAATAGACTTAGTAATTTAGAACTGATAAGTGGCCTGCTTTTTGTAATACCTTTATCATTGCCTGTTGTCATCTTCTGTTGCTATACTCTGCTCCTCTCTTTTTTTTTGCATTCTGAATTGTTCCACAACTAAGCAAGAATGCAGGTGAAATTTGCTGAAGATCCTTCCACCATAAAATGTGTGCCTAGGCCCTAGATTCTCTCAGACCCTAGCCTAGCCCTCTCCATGGGGCTGCACCTTTACCTGTATCTCAGTCAGAAAACCTGATGTGGGAATTGAATGTTGATCCTGCAGGGAGAACTGAACCAACAGAGAGGGCTTGTCCCGTCTAACTTCTTGGAAGCTGTAACTCTGGAGGAAGACACAGCTGAGGAGCTTCATTCAAAAGAGAAGGAGGCTCTTTCACACAGTGCTGAGAGCCAGGTGAGTTGGCATGACCCTGTGCAGTGCAGACAACTAAGCTCTGCCCTGGCTGGGGCCTGCAGAGCAGGGGGTTGTGCAGCATGCTGCATCTGCTAGAACCATTTCAAATACTGCATGTAACTGGGTGAAAGCTCAAAGGTTTAGACAGGAGAGCTAGGAGCTCTTGTTAAGGACTTAACCTATAGTGCAAGGAAAAGCTTAAATTCACTGGGGCCTCAAGCCTCCTTATTGTGGTGATCAAAACGTTTCTGAGGTCCCACCAGCAAATTCTTTATATACAAGTGTCACTGGTCACTGCTGGACCTCCATGCTATGCTGCTAAGGAGACTGGGATTCAGGGAAGTCTCAACTTGGTCCTGGCTCATAAGTGCTCATCCTTCAACCTTCAGGTTTTCTTGGAAAGTTATTGACACAGTCAAATGATGCCGGACCCAAAGAAATGTTGAACAGCAGGCTCAGCTTGGCTCAGAGGTGGTCTTTAAGCAAATACGGGGCCCTGAATCCTCCTTTGTCAAGCTTCCTGCTGGTGTCACCCTAGCTTTTCTGCTCTCTGCACCTTCTCTCCTCCTACTTTTCATGCTCAGCCCCTCCTTTTCTCTGTACCTGCCTACCATCTTTCTGTATTCAAGTGCTTCTCAACCACCGTCACATATCTCCTTCAGGCAACCTTGTCTCTTGCTTCCAGGTATTTTGAGCTTTGTGGGTGCAGTATCTGTATTCCAGCCTCTGTGCCTTTCTATGGAAAGAACGTGTCAGGCCTGATTTGGACAAAAAATTTACAGATAGTTTTGTGGGTCATCTTCCTAACCTGGCATTGCCTTGTGCTTACCTGTCTAGGACCTTTGCTCACAGCCCCTTTGCTCTCAGTGTCTAAGGGATGGTCCATGCTGGGGCACCACAGGGTTTAACTGAGGTCCTGAGGTTTCACAAGTCTCTTGATAGAAACAGGTTTTCCGAGTGAGTTTTCTCCTCCAGTTTCCTTCTCAACATGATTTACTCTTCCCAAATTACACATTTATCAGAACAGCGGGTGCCCAAGGAGACCTGTAGTGGTGCAATTATAACTGTTTGAATTCAGCTAATTACAAATCTCGCCCTCCTCTCCAGGGCTGACTGGCAACAAAACGGCCCATTTCAGATGTCAGGAGTCACTATTCCATGACTAGCCTGCATCTTCCTGGAAGATCTTGGGAAACTGAGCTAAGCTTTAGGGCAACAAGTTGGTCCTGCCACTTGCAAATGTGAAGCATGTGGTTTAGTAAGTGATATTTTATGGAAGGGAGAAAAGAGACACCCAAAAGAGTGATTAACAGAATAACATACACACCAAATCTACTCTTACTTAAATTATACATCTTTGCATCCCTGTCTTCTGGTTCCATGGTGAGGAAACTGGGATGCCAGTTTGGCCATGTCCCAGAGCGGTGTCCTGGGCCCTGCTGTCCCTCCTGCTCCCTATTCCACAGGTTGCGACTGCTCCACTTGCCTCTCCCCTCTCCACTGCTCCTGGATTCCGAAAACGGGGACTGTTCCCTCAGGATACAGCCGTTTGGCCTGTATATCCCTCTGTGTTTGCAGCTATAAGATTTTTCTCTGGTTCATAACCTGCATAAAATCAACATGTTTCAAGCTTGCCTGCCCTTCGGTTCTTTCCATTTGTCTCCCCCTGTCCCTGCCAGAGGTCCACGCAGCCCCCGCTCCCCTTGGCTCTTTGAGTCTGCAGTGTGGGAAGCAGCTCTCTTGGCTCAGGATGGATTTGGTGGCTCTCATCCTGACTGATCCATGAACCTCTCTGTAGTCTGTGGGGTTTGAGAACTTAGAAAATTGGTTATTGATGATTAAGCCGATTTTATTTCAGTGGGGACCCGTGTTAACTATCTAGACATGACTTTTTTTTGCCCACCCCGTCTCAACGCCCCATTCTGTGTAGTGACAGGGCTCCCATGCTCAGCCTGTCCTGCTGCTTCTTTACTGCACCTGGATGCTTTCCCTGGGTGATTCTCACTTAGCAATATGTAGTCCTACCTCCTTGTGCTTTGCAATCCAAATCTGTCTCAACAGCCTCCAAATAAGAAGGATGTCATTGCCTCCTTTTAACAGCAATGCATTTACCTTGCTGGTAACCAAGTCTGTAATAGTTAAGTAGATTTAACTATGTTTAGTGATTACCAAAGGGAGGCAGAACCTGGCCCAGTGTATCTGGGGCTCTGTTACAGCGTCCCGAGTCATGAGGAGAACATCTGATGGGTAAAGCAGGAGCAATATGTCCTTCTGTTTAAAAAAAAAAAAAAAAAAAAAAATCCCTATTTTAAGAGCCAGCCCTGGCAGCTGTGCCTACAGCAGCACAGCTATATCTGGAGTTTTCCAGACTCTGAGGAACATACTCTCTTTGGTAGAGTTTAGGAACTCGCTGGGTAGTGTGGTGCTGGCATATCCAGTAGGCAGAGCACAGCGGGGCAGGGAGGAGCTCTCCCCTCTGCTGCTGCGGTTCGGGAAGGGCACGGGGGTGTTTGTCAGCAGTTGGGCTGTGCAAAACATCAGCAAAAGCAGAAGGTGCATGGCAGCCTCCGGGGAAGCTTTACTTGAATCTTTCCAAAGACAGCATGATAAGGGGCTTTCCGCCAAATTTACTAACCCCAGCTGGAGACCTAAGAATCAAGGAGCATGTGTGTGCACCATGATGTCATGGCAGAGCTTTGGGCTATATTAAGGTTAGCTCTAATCTTAAGCTTCCCCAGCATGATCATGAGTGATTTTCAAATCGCTTATAACTTCTTGGATTTAAAGTTTCCACCCAGTTTGTTTTCTTCCTATTCCCTTCCCCCTGCTGCTGTGTTGAAGACCAATGAATAGGGGCTGTTCATGTTCCAAATTGACCTGGGGAAGGGTGGTGCATCCGAATGATTTGTGAGTATGTCTTAAAATGCTGGAAACTGAAAAAGATAAAGAAATTTAACTTTCAAACTGGCAACACTTGGGGACTAAACTGAGCAATGAAAAAGGCTGCCCAAAGTGGACTATCCAAGAAGTTATGATCACAAGCTGGGGCACTGAAACGCTCATGTTCACTAATGTAAAGCAGTCGTTTTAATGCTGTGGCTACGGAATGAATATTTTTTGCATCAGTAATATGCAGTTTATCTCAAAGACTGATTGTAAAGCACCTCTAGAAAGTATTCAATTCTAATTGATTTCATGTATTTATTTCTGCCTATATTATGCACCCATGGCGCTTATTTTCTTCAGAGAATGAGGAAGAGAAGAGTCCAGTGATAGATATGAATGATACATAGAGAGAGAGAGAGCAACCATGTAAGTTCGTGTGAGAAGATCTCTTCAATCTCCCACCTAGCCTAGCACATTACAGGCTCCTGCAGTTCACTCCTTTTCTTGCTTGTAGTTTGACTGTCTGGTTTGGGGCTCCTCTAGCAAGTCCGTCCGCAAATCACCTGAGGGCAGATCTTTACCTGCCAAACTGGGTCTCCGTTAAAGAGAAGCCATGGTCTGTTCAGCAAATGAAGTGCAACTGTTTGGAACAATTATCTGGTGGTTCTGGGGGCTGTGACTGGGGTGTAGATGTTCTGGGTGTTTAGGTTTAGTCCCCAAAACTGACCCTGTGTGGATAATTGTTCTATCTGACAGCACTAAACAGTTTCAGGGCTGGGGGGGAGGCCTTGCTTTTGGGGAAAGGGGTGGGAGATCTATGTTTTTCTTAGCTTGAAGCACTCTGTTTTTCTTAAACTTTGCAAATAATAATACTATCTGAGGGAGCACTTAAACCCCCCTGAAAACATGGTTCTTCTGTTTATGAACCATAATAGTTGTTATCAGGATCTTGCCAGAGCATTATTTTTGTCCTTTAGGGAAGAAACCCTAGTTTTAATATCATTTGTCTCTTACCAGATGAATCTATGAACTGGTTCTGTTGCTTTTCTGTCATACAGCAACCTCTGAGAATATCTGTACATGTCTATGTGTGAGGGTGCCTGTGTGTGTGGAAATCTGCTGGGCATCATGTACAACAGCTTGGAATCAGAAGGACTTGCAGTCACAAAGACAGAAAACTACTAGTTATTTCCTTTTGACTGCTTGATGTTTGGTAACAATGTTAATACTGTGGTATCCTTATCACGGTAAATCACTGTAAGCTTTGTGAGTTGGTCTGGGAACCTGCATCTCATTTTCCATGCAGTTTTCATGCCTCGCTCTAAAGGAGAAATTGCAGCAATGCTGCTGGGCCACTTCAGACCTGCCCTGAAACTGCCCCCCCTTTGCCAGAGAGGTGCTTTGCAGGGGTGCCTGGGCACGAAGCCCCGGCCACGCTGCCCGGGCAGGGGCTGCGCTGCCGAGCCAATGGCCCAAGCCCAAAGTTGCTGCAGGGACAGTTCACTGGGGAGATCTCACTGCAGGCTGGTGAGAGCCCTTCTCTTATTAACTTGATGCTTCTGTGCATGTTATCCAAGGACTTTGCATAATGCATGAAGAACATCTGGAGCAGTGCCCAGGGTTTCTTATCTTTTGCAAAGCACCTAAACCAAATTAGCCCTTATCTGGCTTACTTTTTTTCCCTACCTCCATAAATCTTCCATTACTGACTGAAATTGCTCATTAACAGATTTATTTCTAGAATTCCCAGACTTGTCTAGTACCTGTGCCAGCAGCACCAATGTTGTGCCAGGCAAAATTGCCCGTTTTGGAGTAGCAGTGCTACAAGGAGATGCGGGGATTGCTGGAGATGGTGCAGCTCTGCGGGAGGACTCACCTTGCACACAGAGAGCTGCTCTCTCGAGGCCCAGGCTGCGCTGGCAGCCTGTCCCTAGCAGGTAGGGCAGAGAGAGGAGTGCTGCGTACCTGCAGAAACATAGAAGTCTTCTGAATGAGTGAGGACAAGACTGCCAGGTGGCAGGACAAGATCAGGAAAAATCAACCACCATCCTGGTCGCTGTAAAGAGGAGAGGTGTCTGGGTAGTCCAGTGCCTTAGTCAGGCAAGAAACGGTCTGGTGACACGACTATTTGGGTCAATTTAAAGTGATTTGTTGACCCTCAACTGTCTGGATTTGGGAGGAGAGAGATATCCACACAAAACCAGAGTTTTTTCTGAGTCCTTTATTCTGAGCTGCTCAAGATTGATTTCATACATAACTGCGTGTACTATGGCTTCGAGCTCTTCCTTTCTAGAGGTTTCTGCTTATCTTGTTTTATTTACTTTTAATTAGAGAATTACTTTTTTTCCTATAAAACCAGAATTATTTGTTTTCCTATAGAAGAATGAAGTGACTGCCTCTGAAGTAGGCATAACTTTGGCCTTTGAGGTGACAAGAGATCATAGCCACTTTTTGTGCCCTTCACACGAGGGTTAGGGTGCTGAAACAGCAGTGGGGTCGTAAGGCAGTGCTGCATTTACTCTGAACCCCACTAAGTTTCAGGTAAATGAGCACAGTGAGAATAAAGCGTGGATGTGTTATAGCAATGTAACATCTCTGCATCTGCTTGATTCTCAGGAGCAGCACGTGGCCAGGACCAAAGCATGGCCCTTCTTGCCCGCCAAGTACAAGTAGCTGCTGCCGTGAGTGTAGGCACAGTTCTGCAGGGCTGATGGTGAAGACCTGTAGGCACCAACCACTCGCCTCTTCCTGCCTTTGTGGCACCCAGGCAGTCAGTGAGGGCTATGGTGTTTCAGCCCCCCAAGGCAGAACCCCCTTCCTCAGCACAGCCGCAGCCTCTGTCACGGTGTGTTTTGGAGGATAACAAGGCAGGATATACAGCAGGAAGCTGAGAAGGCTATTTATTCCATTAGGCACATTGAGGCTGGTTTGGAAAAGCCATGTGGAAGAGAACACAGTGGGACAAGGGTTCTTTTACGCCCCAGCAACCCAGAACATCTTCCCTGGCAAACAACTATGCAGCTTCTTGGGAAAGCACATCCCCTGGCAAACTATGCAGCTTCTTGGGAAAGCACATGAGCTCAGACCACCGTCCCTGTGGCTAAACGCAGGGAGAGCAGCTCCCAGGGAGAAGGCTGCTCTGGGAGCCGCCCTGTCTCTGATACGCTGTGAAGGGGAAGCTGAGGCAAGGGCCCTTGTCCAGCTTCCAAAAGGCCCCTCCAAAAAGAGGGTACAGTGGGTCTTCTGAACTGTGGATCCCAGGTCATATTCTAGAGCGTTTGGATAACTTGTCTTATAAGTAAGTTCCCCTCTTTGAACATGTGAAGGTATTGCCTAGCCCTGCTCTTACTTCCTTCTAAAGGAAGGAAATTCCTTTAGATTAAGATTCCATCTTAGTATGTACTGGGAACCCACAGATCTCTCCCTGGCTCCTGGCAGCCAGCAGGGCTGCTTGGATATTTCCAGAGTAGTCTGCTGGGTCCCTGTGATAAACCTGCTGGTGTCTTTCCCTCCTGGCTCTTAGGAGATGATCAAACTATCACCTCTTCAGCTGTGAAGTCATGTCTCTTCACGAGCCCTGGGTGGGCACTTGCCTTCTGTACCATTCTTAGCCCAAAGGGTGGAAGAAAATTGGGAGTGTCTGAGCTCAGGCAGGGTCTGGATGGGGGATAAATCCTTTGCAGGCTTCCTAACTGAATCGGCAGTTGCATACAGACTGACAGGGAGAAAGCAGGATTATTTGGCTGAGGTTTATGATGACATAGTGTCCTTATTAGGCTCTAAAATATACTTTTGTTTTTCTTTTGTTGTCTCTTTTTCCTGCTTAGTTGAATCCAGATGGGTCTATTGACCAGAGAGACTTCTTGCCAACTCCTCCTGCTGTACCACCCTCCTGCCTTCTCATGGACGAGCAGTGTCCAGAGCAGGCACCACTGGCAGTTCTCAAATGCACTGATTTACCTGGTCAGAGTAAAAAGAAGAGAGGCTTCTTCTTCAAAGGAAAAAAGCTCTTCAAAAAACTCGGGTCCAGTAAGAAGAATTAACAAGGGATTTGCTGCTGTCTGTAAGTTGTCTGTGCAAACCACACAGGCACTGGAAATTCAGGAGAAGCCCTCTGCAATAAGCTTATTAGAGTATTTTCATAGGGAAAAAGTATAGATTGAATAGAGAAAACCCCTCGGTGGGTCTGCAAGCCGTGGTCTCTGCTGAAAGCCCACCCAGCACAGGCAGTGTCTGTGGACACAGTTTCATGGCACTGGGGTGTATGAGGCCTCAGCTCTAGGATACAGCTACCTCCACAGTAGTGTGTCCTGCTCCATGCAGCCCTCAATGCACCAGTTCCCTGTAAATATTTTAATTTAAAAAATGGTGTCCTGGCTGTAACTTTAGCTAAATGGCTTTTCCCAGCAAAACCCAAGCCCCTTAGGAAAAGCTCCCTTGTACTACTCACCCGGTGTCACTGGTCCAAAGGAGATTGTCTTGACTCCACTTCCTTCAGAGAACATTTGCACTCTCCTGTTCCTGTGAATCCCCTTTGCTGTCTCTGGGCTGATGAATGAGTTATTTGTACTGTAAACCTGTAAATACGCAGCTGTGCCTAGGAGCATCCCACACTGCCTCGGTCGCGTTTGAGCGCGAGGGACCTCGCGGAGGAAGGAGCGATGCCCTGAATGGGGCCAATACTTCTGCAGAGAGCACGGGCTGTTGCAAGCTGCTGTTGGCTGGTTCACCTTGACCACATGCTGGCTGGGGACTCCGCCTTATTTATTTATTTATTTATTTATCTATCTATCTATCCATTTAATCTATTTATTTATTTGTTTTGGTCCACCTCTTTCATGGTTTTATTTGGCTGTTTTAATGGGCTGCTCCTGAGTTGGAGCATTTGGAGAGCAGAGCTGGGGATGGAGAGTTTGCAGCTATTTTCATATAGTATGATGTGTTTCTTGAGTTAAGACACATCCCTTTATAAGCCACGGAGAGTTTTGTACAACATTGTTTCTATCCTTTTCAGTGTTTCTTTGCATGTTTCAATAGGGTATTTGTTTTAAGAAAGACAGTTATGTGAGGTATGTGAATGATGCCAGCACAGTGTCCACAGTGTTGGTGATATAGTATGTTTTTATTTAATATCAAATTTTATTATAATAAAGTCTATTTTCACAAAAATACACTTTTCCTTAAAAAAAAAGAAAAGCAAGACTCACTGCTGCTTATTCTGTATGTGGGATGGTAGAAATCACCAGTGCCTCGAGGATGATCCCCAGTACATCACGTAAGACTACACCTTACCCCAAAGCAGCCTGATAGCAGCCCTCTCTGGGGGTGAAACCCTCTTCCTCTCCAGCCTGGGATCTAACCCTGGAAGAGGAAGCTCCAGGATGCAGTTACACAGCGTTACCGGGTGCAGTTGTGTGGTCTCTGGACTCAGCTGCACGTAGCTCTGTGTTGTGCTGCCTGCACGGCGTCGGGCAGCAGCAACCCCCAGTTCTGGGCACTGGCCTCCTTCCCTGTGGCACCAAGGAGCCCTGGGGGGCATCTGCCAGCCCCGGATCCGTTGGCGCCTCCGTGTGACCGGTGTGTCCTGCAGGGGCCCTGGCCGAGCGTGCGGGCAGGGAGCGGGCCCGGCTGCAGGTCTGTGCCCGGGGGCACGGACGCACTCTTGCCTCTGCGTCGTGGAGCAGAAGCAGAACAGCGCCGCAATATCAGGTGAGTTGGTTACTCCAGATACAGTGTTTCCTTCTCTGCTGGTTTGGTTCTAGGGACAGAGCAAGAGAAACACAATGGTGCATTTAGAAAAGACGTCATCTTTGAGTTTTAGATGCTTTCATTTTTGGGGGATCAGGATTATTGATGCTGAGAAAGGAGGAGGAAGAAAAACATCATAGGCCAAGCACAGGATGCCAATGCGCTGTGTTGTGACACCAGGAAAAGGTCCTGGCTGGAGAGGAAGCCAAAACAAAAAAAAAAATCCCCATGGACTGGCCCCTTGTGTAAACAGTATCTCGCGGGATATGCTTTGGTAAAGCTGTGCCTGAAGTCAGACATCAGCTCTCTTCTGTTGGATATTGCCCTCCAAGAAGTGCAAGGTTCTATGCGGCTTTGCTCTCTGCTCCGGTTGGCACTGTTCCTTTTTAAAAAATAGAACAGCTTTATTTTTAAATCAAAATAAAGTCATCTAGAGCAGAGAGCAAAGCTGCATGGAACTTTTCACTTTTTGGAAGAAAAGGAATGAGAAATTTGGGTAAAAGCATGAGAAATAAGGACGCCTGAAAAGCTCTCAGATTGGACCACAGCTCTTGACTGATTTTGCTTGCTGAGTCATAGTGCCTCATAGCCCCATCTGTGGAAATGCAGACTCTTGAAATGGAGATGGTAGTTAGGGGGAGCTCTCTGAATGCCACTAAGCATTGGATTGGATGCATAAAGTGGCAGTTTTGGGACACTGATCTGTTGGGAATCCAGCTGAGGGGTCAAAAGTGGCCATGAGGATTTCTGGAGATTTTGCGAAAGGATTTCCCTGATGAGGAGGACCTGATTGGGCTGCTGCTTCTCCTTAGAGAAATGTTTCAGGAAGATCTTGATAAGCCAGTATGTCACTGTCTCCTGTGATGGACAACAGTCAGGGCAAGGATGGCTTCAGAAGTTTCAAAGTGATGAACTTGCTCTAGCTTCAAATGCTAAAAGTATCTTCCAAAACTTCTAAAGCAAATTCCAGGGATAAAAACGCAGGCAGCCTGGAACCTCTCAAGTCTCTGCACGTACACGAGCCCCTCTGTTCTGCGTGGGATTTTCTTCCCCTAACTGCAGGATGTGAGCCTCACACCATGTACCGAGATACATTGTTGGTAACTAGTCTGAAACACCTTTGGAAATGCCTTCCATGCCTTGTAATCACTGTAATTTATCTTCCGCTTGCCCTGCCTTGGAGGAAGCTGGTTGCAGTTTTAACTGAATTTACCAGCTGTAGTTTCCTAAGCAAGTTGGTGAAGGTCTTTTGAAAGAAACTGCCTGTTGTTGCACTTATTAATCTCTTCTTTGCAAGAGCACTTACAGAAATTTTCCTTTTATTTGCTTTGTCCTAATGCCAGACAGAAAAGAAAATTTTCATGAAAGTACAATGCAGTATTTTCAGTGGCTGGCAGTGGTCCGTTCAGAGAGCTGAACATACTGAGATGGCAGACAGAAGCACTGACCTGATACTGAGAAACGCGTGCGGGTCGCAGGAGGTGTAGGTGGGGAAGACCAAGACTAACACAACGCGTTGGGGCTGCCCGGGACCAGCGGCTTGGTGCAGGCTGTGTGCGCACGTTGGTGCTCTGTTTCCCCAGAAGACGTTGGGCTGCCTCTGTCTTGATGTAGGCAGATTTAACCGTCATAGACGCGTGCTCATGTCATTTAGCAGAGTCACCAGTTCAGTTAGTTCTCCAATACCGGGCCAACTTTACAGCAAAGCTAAGTAAAGTCTTCCTGAGGAATGCTTAAGACTTCTAGGTTTTGGTAGCTAAAAGCAATAGGGAGTAAAGTCTTCCTGAGGAATGCTTAACTAGGTTTTGGTAGCTAAAAGCAATAGGCAAATACAGTCTGGATATCTGCTCTGCTTTCTTTGCTTTGGATTGTTGTGCTCTAACCGAGCTGACACCCATGATGACAAACACAATGACTTCCAAAGCTCCCTCTGAAGTCACACAAAATGCTGTCGCATTTGGGTTTGCTTCCCCCACCTCCTGTGGACGGCTGCATTCCCATTCCCAGGCCTTTGATGAGCAGCTCTTGAGCACACATTCGCCTCATCCTGGAGACTCCGGGATGTTGATGGGTATTGATTGACACATAATCAATGACAACTCTGAGCATGTTCGTTACCACACGTGGTGGACAAGGCGTAGGACTCTCTCCATCTCCACTATCCATCAGCTTGGGACCTCCTGATTCAGAGTTATCCTCTGCAAATTACAGTGCTGGAAGGTGAAAATGTGGGCAAAGTCAGTAGACAGAATTGTCTACGTTTTTATTAATAAATTCCCCAACAAGTTTCCTCAGGGTCTTTTCAATCCCATACTGGGTATTAAACATCAATGCGAGGTTGGCTGTAATTCCCAAGACAGATTGAAGTAATTGAGGTCTGGCAAGTTTCTGAGTTCACAAAACCTATTTCAGAAGAACAAGACTTGTCTCTTTACAGACCATAAGCAATACACGAGTTAATCTTGGTATCTCTACATAGCTCTTTATTATATGCTCTAGAATTGTAAAAGTCTAGAAATACATAGTGCCCATCTGCAGTGGATTTCCTAGACACTTCTCTAGCACCAAGACAGACCACCCATCCATCAGTGGGCCACACAAACGTGAGCAAAGCTACTTAGTGCTGTTACTCCAGTGCTGTGTACGGTGGGAGAAGCTGCACCTAGAAGATTCAGGGTAGGCCCAGAAGGACTCTGACGCCTGCACTCACTGGTGGCCTGGAACAGAGCAACAATCAATAAGGATGGATGAATCTCATGTGGCTGGTGCCATGGGGAAGATATGGGGATTAGAGAGCCAAGAAAGAGTTATAGATAAAACTGCCAATCCTGATGGATGCAGGTAAGTCAGAGCTCACCTTGGGAGAGACCAGCTGAGAAGAGCTTGACCTGGACTAGGAGACCGCTTCTATGGCCCAAGAGAGTGAGGGAAAAGGTATGTGGCTTTGTGTAGAAGAGTGCAGAGGGACTGGAATCAGATCTATTACGTGTATTGCATAAGCCGCTTACTGTGGAGTCTGAGTCCAAAGCTGCATGTTGTCCAGAGCAGGCAGATCACGTCTTCCTGGTGTGTGCTACTGTGGTCAAATACAGCCCTCGGCTCCTGCTCTGGAGGTCTGGCTCAGAATATGGCTAAAGAAAGCAACCACTTTCCATCCTTAAACAGAGTTTTTGCAGAATGTGCTAGAAATATGGTTCAAATCCTTCTTGCACCAATCCGGCCTGTCCCCACAGCGTAGTCTTCTCTCCTGCTTGTGTTACGATTGTCCCTTTTGATGCTTTTTTCTCTTGGATAAAGCAACCTTCCAAGCATAGCGTGGACTTCAGGAACCTGCTTCTACATGTGTTCTCATGTTCTACACTACATTTTTCACTCGTAGTTCGACCCTGTTAACAGGCAATTGATCTCCCCTTCCTTCCACCCTGTGCGCTGCAGCCACTGCAGACCTGTGACATGGCAATGGGGAGTCTGAATGCTGGGCCTTGTGCTTGAACTTGGAGGAGGCCTGAACCTGGCACTCCTGGTGACCCCTCTTCTTTTTCTGGCATCTATGAGCACACCCAGACACAGAGGAAGTCTCACCTGGTTTTGGTCTCATCCCAGTCACTGGCTGAAAGCAGGAGCACATAGCTGCTGGCTAGGGCATGCGCTTGGTTGTTCTGGGGCTTCTGGCCGTTCTTACCCCAATAAAGTCTCTTAAAAATGTCCAACATATATGAAGCTTTCCCCAAAGATGAGAAGTTGTCTTGTTAAATATCAGTGCAGCTGTCTCTGCTGCACTGCTAAGGAAATAATAAGGACCACTCCCAGGTCCTTCTCTGCAGACTTGTTCTTCAGCAGATAAACCCCAGCCTTTACTGTACCTGGGTTTATTCATCCCTAGGTGCAGCAGCCTGCATTTACCTTTGTTGAACTTCACGAGGTTCCTCTCCCCATCTGTCCAGCCTGTCAAGGTCCCTCTGAAAGGCAGCACAGCCCTCTGTGATATCACCTTTTTTCCCAGTTTGGTATCATCAGCAAACTCACTGAAGGTGCAGTGCACCCTGTCGCTTCCTCCAGGTCATTGACGAGTAAGTTGAACAGTACTGGACCCCGTATTGACCACTTGGGGATACAAGAAGTTACAGGCTTCCAACTAGACTTTGTGCTACTGATCACAAGCCTCTGAGCTCTGCTGTTCAGTCAGCTTTCAGTCCACCTCACTGTCAGCTCATCCAGCCCATTCTTCCTCATCTTGTCTATGAGGATGTTGTGGGAACAGTGTTGAAAGCCTTCCTGAAGTGCTCTCCCCTCATGTACCCAGGTCATTCTATCATAGAAGGCAATCATGTTGGTTAAGCATGATTTCCCCTTTTGAATCCATGTTGATTGCTCCTGGACACCTTCTCTTTCATGTGCTCAGAGGCAGCGTCCAGGAGGAGCTGTTTCCTCACCCCTGCAGTGATGGAGGTGAGGCTGACTAACCTGTAAGCCCACATCACCCCTAGTCTTCATTGTCTTGTTGGCCTTGACATCCCTTGCCAGATTGAACTCCTGATGGATCTTGGTCTTCTCACTGCTGCATACTCAGACAACACTCCTATATTCCCCCAGGTTACATCTCCCTGTGTGCACCTTCTCTATGATTCCTTCTTATGTCTGAGTTTTGCCTTGTTCATCTATTCAGATCTCCTGCTCCCTTTGCTTGATATCTTCCTCATCGGTTTTGACCTTGGAGGAGATGATCCTTGAATATCAACCATTTTTCTTTGACTCCCCTCCAGAACCTTATCCCATGGGATTCTACCAAGCTTGTCCCCGAGGAGACCAAAGGCTGCTCTTCTGAAGCCCAGGATGGTGATCCTGCTCTTGGCCCTGCTCCCTCCTCACAGGATTCCAAACTCCACCAGCTGCAGGACATTTCCTATATGCTGTTATTTGAGAGTGAGTCTGAGGAGCCATTTTCATGGAAAATGAACTTTCAAGAGACAAAGCAACCCTCAAAACCCACCTCTTTCATGTTTCCTGAAGCAATTTTGAGAGCAATTAGGTAAGTTCCTAATTGTGAAATGCACTTATCAGCACAGATATGCACTAACTGTCTCATTAACATTTTAAAAATCCTTATCTTCTTCTAACTGGCAAACTGCATGATACAAAAGAGGAAGTACACAGATAATGGCTTCAAAAATCTGCCAGCTCTGCCCCTTTGCAGAAAAGCAGTACTGTGCTTGCCCTTGTGCAAGCAGGTGGTGGTGATGGTGGCGCAGAAAAGTGGAATCCTGCTTCTGTCCTCAAATGGCTGAGCTCACAGGAGCTCAGAAGGTGCTTCAGCCTCTGGTCTCCAGCCTCTGGTCCAGACCCTGCCCCAGGCTAGGGCAGACTCCAAGGCTGGGTGAGGCTGCTCAGGGCATTGCCCATGTGAGCTTTGAAAATCTCCAAAGATACAGATCCCACCACCTCCCTGGGCCCTGTCCTAGGTCTCCACCACTGTCACAGATGTTTTTCTTATGTCTACTGAGAATTTGCCTTACAGCAACTGGAGCTCGTTGCCTTTCATCCTTTCACTTCACACTTCTGAAAAGGCTCTGTCTTCTGTATATCCCTTCCATGAGATAGCTGAAGCCAATAATTAGATCTCCCAAACCCTTTCTTCTCTGAATAAGTCCAGCTTTGTCAGCCTCTTCTTGAATGTCATGTGCTCTAGCTGGGTTCACTCTGGTTTGCCAGCAGCTCCTTGGGCTGGGGCGGTGCAAACAGGACACAGCAGCCTCACCAATGACTAACTCAGGTTTTGTCCCTGTAATAACACATAGTTTCTTTAAAACAGTGAAGTGCTAATACACTGCATTGAAGGCGTCTGGCTCCATCTGTAAGGGAACTCTGGGCACACAGGCACTTTCAGAGTCACTGCTGGAGAGGCTGCACAACCAATGCAGTTCCTGGGACTCATCGTGTAGGGCAGGGTGCAACTAAAAAATGTTTATTTAAACTACCCCCAGTGCATTTGAGCACCTCAGATGATTACTCAAGAAATTTATATTACAGAAGGGAAAACACAATTGCAATGAGCAGGAGTCCCATTTAGAGGAGAGCTGAAATCCCCTGGCTTCTCTGGACACTCCAGCTTATTCCAGCGCATCCTTTACTCGATTCAGCCCTATCCCTTTTGCTGAGTGACTAGCACAGTTGTAGCATGGCAAGGATATAAGTCAGATAGTGCTGAAAAACCTAAAAGAAAGAAGAACCTGAACATCAAGAGTGCAGCTGATCCTGGTCCTCTTCTCTTTGGGAAGTGGGTGCTGCCTCTTCTTGACCTCACCCACTCGCAGAAAGGGGAGGTCCCCCAGAGAGCTGGGCCAGCCAGCTGCACATAAAGGTGCAGGTGCCAAGGGGCCGGGCAGAGGACAGCAGAAGATTGCAGGTGAGGCTGTGGCCCATTTCATGCTTGCTTTTGCTTTTATGGAGCTTCTGTACTATGGGTGGAGGGAGTCAAGGCTGTGCTCGCAGCATTCGGGTGAGGTCTATGCTTCCCATTGCTTGTGTGATGGTCTCCTAAGCCTTGCTCTAGGGCTAACAGAGCTGCTGTCTGTCCTAGCAGCCCCCAGCAGGGCCAGCTGTAGCACAGTGAGGATCTGGCTGGACTGCATTGCTCTTGTGGGTTATTTTTGCCTGCTGCTCCATGGTGGGTGCTAAATGATGCTTTGCTGGCACGGTCCACAGGGGCACTGTTCTGATAGAGATTTGCTTTGGAGTGACCTTATTCCACACCGGAGGTGGATGAGTAGGGCCTGAGGAAGGTCAGCTTTATGCAAGAACAGCCCAATTACCTGCATACAGAGGACCTGCCAGGCTCTTCTGGCTGACCCCTCTTCCCATCAAGCCAAATCACTGGTAGCAGCTCTCCTAAACTCATGCATGAGCTCTCCCTGCATGGACAGGGCAGGTGCCTGGGCTCACTGACAATCAGCCATGGTGACAGCAGGTCCTTCCCTCAGCTACCCAGGAGGGCTGCCTGCCAGGGACATTCCTCCTAACAAAAGCATTCCCTGAGTGGGTGATGGACTTCTAAGAAGCTATGGAGATTGGTGGTCTTTAAGATGAGCTTCATCAGCATGGGGATGGGAGCTGGGACTGGGCAGGGTTTCCAGGATGCATGGGCTGGGCTGTTCATGATGCCAAAGGAGATTGCACTAATTGTTTCTCCTAGAAGTCTGGGAACCTACATACTCACTGCTGCATTTCACAAACCCTTGCTGTGTCTCAGCTCCTTCCTTGAAGCTACTGCTTGTACAGGAGCCAGGCAGCAGGACAGGGCAAGGCAGCACAAGAGCAAGGGTGGGCTCTCCTGAATGGTTCTGCCTTGCTCCTCATTCAAACACTACGGCATTTGCTGTGTCTCAACTCTCAGATGGATGAGTTCATCTGTTTTGTGTTGCCCCACAGAAGATGTTGTCCCAAAGCAGTGCTTCCCCAATGATGTCTGAGGGCCCTTGGATATTGTAGAAACCCTGTGAGATAGGAGGCAGCTCCCTTTCTTATTGCAAGCTCCACCTGTTCCAGAAGGCTTGAGTGAGTTGTAAAAACGAGGTTGTTGCAGCTGCCTTGCCAAAACTTCTCTGTGGTTTGGCAAAGACACCATGTGCACTTCTGGGGCCCATGGCTTGTGTCCTGTGGAGAATGTGTAATTCAAACGCTCTTGCCTGATCCTCTGACCTACGTGTCCACACTGCGAGTTTGAAGCACTGGCAGGGTACGGGCTGGCTCAGGATGTGATTGATGCTGCTGGATTAGCAGGGAGATTCCAGACTCCCACACACCTCTCCTCGGCCCAGGCCAATTTGCTCCCATCCACCATAATCACCAGGTCACTGAAGGATTTCCTTGGCAGCACCCTTGTTCTCAGGGAGCGCTGTGCTGGGAAGAGGAAACCTTGGCTGGGGCTGTGGGCTCCTTTAAGACATGCCATCAGTATGGTGAAATTAATGGCGTTTTGGTCCTCACTTCTTGCATTTTTTTTTTACAGAGATGAAGGTAGAAATCCTCTTTCTGGGCTTGCTGGTGACCCTCAGTCTGTTCCAACCATCTGTATCATCTTCATATGGTATTGAACCTTTCTCAGGTTTAACAGATCAGAGGCTTTTACATTCCAAGTAGGAAAAAGAATAAAGCTTAGTGTGACAAAACTTAAATTATCCTCTTGTAAACAGCAAAGACACAGAGAGCAGAAAGCCTCCAGTAGAGTTACTATCTACTGAAGAAGCAATACTGACAATTTCAGGTTTTTACCAGTTGATTTCCTATCTGATTTCTTAAAATTGCATTAAAGGTAAGATTAGTCCTCAGAACAGCTCTAGTTCCCAGCAGCACAGCAGTCCTCCTACCACTCATGCCAAGCAAAACAGCAGACAAATCCCTCTTTGTGAGAATGGCTCAACTCCAACTGAACTACCATTAACAGGTAGCTCTGGTGTTTAGGCATGGGGAAGTTGCCTGTCACTCTTGCAGCCTTGCATTACTCCTCTAAAACCTACAGAAAACTTTGATTTTTAAATTTATCATTTAAAATCCTTATGGAAACCACATGCTCAAGCTTTCATTTATCTCAAATATTGGTTCAGATAATTCGTGTTCCCCCCATGATTGTCAGATGTGAACTCTTGAGCTGATCCAGGAAGATATGCTGTGGACTCTGGGAAAAATATGATTTTTTTTAATGATTTGTGTTGATTTCTGAAGCTTTCTCCTTGCCCAGAAGCTAGAGAAAAAGCGACTCCCACGTAGAGTAGCACAGTGATGGTTGTCCTCTCCTGTTCTCTAACACAGATATCAGATTACAGGGACAAGGTCCCTGAGCTTCTCATTCATTTTCAGGAGTTCCCCAGGGTAGGAGGAAAAGTAGTGAGAATGACAGGTCAGGGATTTGCAGAACATTTTAGACAGACTGGGGAAAGTGGTGGGGAAATCCTTCTGCTTTGTGGCATGGAGATATATGAGCTGCTGCTTTGACCAGCTGGTGCCAAAGGAAGCAGCAAACAGCATATGTGTGTTGTCAAATGTGGATACAAGCGGTCTAGGAGAAAAAGCATGGGGGAAAACGCACGGATGAGAAAAAAGCAGGAGACAAGAGCACTCACTGCTCTCTTGCTCATCACAACAGGGTGGAAAACAGCGTTCTCATCTCTGCCCTTTCCTTTCCTTTGGTGAGGTCTCTCAGAGGAACTGTCAGATGCGTCAGTGCTGAGCAGTGTTAACGAAGCCAAGCAGCTAGTGGATTCAGCTTATAAACACACACGTGACAGGTGAGACTCAGTCTGGGCTTAGCTGCTGGACTGTGCAGTCTGCTCTCGCTGTGCATGGGTGCTACGGTGCCTTGCAGCCCTCTGGCTTCAGAAGAGTTGGCTCTTGCCCCTGACTCCAGTATCGCATATGAAGGGGAAAGGTTCTCCATGAACATGGTGGGCTGAAACCCAACATTTATTTAGCTATTATATTTTAGGCTGCAATCAGAAAAAGGGCCCAATTGCCTCTCTCCCGGAGTAGAGCTACGTGATTCTAGATACAGTCCTGCCAGATCCACACTGGGACAGACAGCTTCCATAAAGCCTCCTCACGCTTATGAGGCCTATCAATGGCCTGGGCTCCTCTGTCATGTTTTGGGGGTGCCACAACCTCTCACTGCTGGTGCGTGTCCGGTCTCCCTTCTATACACGACTCCTGGTTTCCTACCTATCCTCTGCTGCCCAGGCTCACCTACATGTCCTCTGCTGAGTTACCACATGGGGCTTTGCTATTTGCAGTCATGCAGTTTCTAGAGCTGCCTTGTGCCTATTGGCTATTTTTGCATCACATCTCCAGTCTGTGCGGTTATTTTGAGCTGTAACTCTTTCATTCTAAAAAAAAAGCTGTCCCTCCTAGTACTTGACTCTGTTTCATCCCTTATGGACATCCTGAGGAGAACCAGAGCCCCTGCTGCATTCCAGTTGTTCACCACCTGTGAGGGGAGTGAACTGCAGCAGGTCAGAGTGAGGGCATTTTGTGCGATCTGGCAGGAGACCTGTGATTTTGTCACCACGGTTTGGGTGTGCATAGGTTCCTCCATCAGCACTTGTCTTCTGGGGAGGCTTAGGAAAGCCCTGGCTTGGGAGCTTTTCTCATCTCAGGGGTCCAGCAGCATTAAGACAGACTTGGAGATGTTTGTGGCCTTGTGGGCCTTTGGAGGGAGATAGGCACCCACTGGTGCTAGTTAGGGAATAGTTAAGTGAGATTTCATTGACTCAGGGATGTAAAGAAAGGCCTAAGAGCTCTGATGTTGTCTTCTGGAAGGTGGATCTCTGTGGGGTTTCCCTCCTGTTAGCCACGCTGCTCCTCTGCCAAGACCAGCCCTGGTCTCTCCCAATTTACATGCAGGGTGTTGGGGTGACCCTGCCTTTTTTGGCAGTTCAGACTAACATGCCGGGTGGTGAACTGGGGTAACCTGCAGGACCTGCAGTGGGGTTTGCCCCAATGCCCCCTGCAGATTTTTTTTTCTTTCCCCTTCCCCTGCTCCTTGTAGCATAAAAAAGAACTTGCAGAACAGCTCCTTGACCCCAATAGAGCTCCTGGGATATTTCAAACAGCCAGTGGCAGGGACCCGGTCTGCAGTTCGCACTGCAGATTACATGGAAACCACCCTGACCCTGCTCAAGGAGAAGCTGCGATGGACTGTGAAGGGAGATTTCAACGTCACAGGTAGGAATGTCACTTTGCTAGGAGGAAGAAAGAGCAGTGAGTGCTGTTTCATGAAGATGTGGCTCTTGGTCAACAGGCCTTTGTGGGACGTAGGAGGAAGGAGTTAGGGGATATGCTGGGTCACTCCTCAAATCCCTCCCGTCCAACTACAGTGTGAAGCATCTTGGTGCTGTGTTGAGGAAAAATCCCCTCTGTGAGGGGGAGGTCCTGGCCTACCATCAAAACCTGTTTGCTGAGAGCAGAAGGCAAGTTAGGGGCGGTTAGAGGAACACTCGGGGGAGGAACGGGGAGGGCTTCATATAATAATTAACTCATGAGGACCACAAGCATTAGGGCTAAGTACTGGCAGATCACGACCTGAAGCCCAAGCTCACACCATGCAGGGTGAGGGGGAAAGGCAGGGGACGTCTGTGCCCTCTCATCGTTGGGCAAAGGAGGCAGCAGTTTCTTCTAAAAGCACTGATGAAACTGTTGGTGGCAGTAGTGGCTAAGAAACTGCAGGGTGTAGTGTGCAGTAGCCATGGTCAAAAGGCTTCATTCAAGCAAAGAAGGTTAATGTCAGCCACTTACCGCCCATTCCTTGGGAAATCTTCACCGAGAAATGCAAAGCCAGTGTCCCCTCGTGGGGAACAGCAGTCTGATGTCTTCTTCTCCCGACGACAGTGTGCATACTGGGGGGTGCTTCCATAGGGAAACAAAACTTTTAACGGCTCTCGGAGACAGCAGTAGCTGTTAGTAATTTATAGTGGAGATAAAGGGAAAGGGAGAGAAAGAGAAAAGAATTGTTAATCAATTGTTAATGATAGAAAATAATTTCCCTTCTGCCCATTTGTAAAATGTAACTACATGTAAGATTTGAACACACCGTTGTGGTTTTTGATGCCATCCCAAACCAAAAAGAGAGCTCTGCTGCTCTGGAGAATATCTCCAGCACAGACATGTTAGAGCAGGATAACCTGAAGCAGAAATTCTTTGCATTCTTCCTGCACAGGATGATACCAGCATAGGAATCCAATTCTGGATTGCAAGAATGTTTTTTTTTCTTTTTTTTTTTTTTCCTCCTGAGCCTGGGAGACACCCTGACCAAGCAGAATCAGTACGTTCACTTCTTATTGCTGTCTTGTAGACATTCTCACACCAGCTCAACTGGGGATGATTTTCAAAGCAACTGGATGTGACCAACATAATAAGAAAATAAATTGTGAATCTGCCTCCCGTTACCGAACGATCACCGGCGAGTGCAACAACAGGTGAGGGGCTTCCAAGAGGAGGAGGGGCAGCTGGTTCCCCTATCAGTACAGCAAGACTTATATCTTCCAAGATGATCCATACAGGATGCCTTCCCTAGGGTTTTATAACCCACTATACTATTTCTCAGGCACATGGAGATTTTAATTCCAGTCTCACCTCAAGGGCTTTTGGTGTTGTACATGAACTAGATTTCAAAGTGCAAAAAAATGGTGACTCCCCTCTGCTCCTGCTCTGTCATTGGGCTGCATTTTTTACTTTCTCCTGGTTGTGCCTGGCTCTGCCCCTTGCAAGGCATGGAAGTGCTTCCCAGCCTCGTGGGTTGGTTTGCGACCTGGCGGCACCATAGCTCTGTACTGTGGCACGGTCTGGTCTGGCTCCATGCCCTGTACTGTATCCCCGCTGCTCAGGGAGAAATTTGGGTGCACAGGTTGGGAGAGAGCAGCTTGTGCATGCTCCTTCATTAGCCAAATGGAGGCCAGGACTATAAGGTGGGATATAAAATATTATTTCTCTGTAAATTCAGAGCTTACTTTACTTAATGAAGGGGCAGCTGTGCTCGACAGTGGAGTGGTTTCAAGGGGACCATATAGAAGTCCATCCCTCCACTGTCACTGAGGTGAAGTTTCTCCTGGGACATGTGGCACCTCAGGCAGAGGAAGGAATTCACACAGGTTTGTCTGCCTGGAGGGTGCTTTAGCTTTCAGGTGTCTGTAAAAGAAGGAGGGAGAGCTACCTGCCTCCTCCTGTTTTCAGAAAGTGGCAGCTCCATTTCAGAGTGGGGCTCTGGCTTCTGGGACAGGGACAGGTCTGTCAGACCAGAGCAAAACCATGAAGTCCAGTTTGCTGTGTCTCTCCATTGCTTGGCCCTAGGCATGGGCCATCCATGGGCACTGTGGGCAATCAGCGAATACATTGTATATATGTCCTTCAAGACCAAAATTTATTAGTAGTCTAACTAAGACTTTAAAAGTCTAATCAACATATAACTATTTTTAGATCAATTAGTAACACTCACGATGCAAATCACCCAATTTCTTTTAAGATAATTGGTAGTTCAGTAAAATCAATAGGCACAAGTGTCTGCTCCTTTTCTCTGATGTTATGAGGCCCTTTTTCCACAGATTGGATGCTTCAGTGTATTGTCAGGATCCACAGGATGAGGGTTTCTTCATCCTTGGTCTTGGTTTCCCTTGGGATTATTTTATATGTTTCATTGTCACTGCTGTTAATTTGATATGCTCTGTTAGTCTTTAGTAGACCTCTGCTGTAGGTCTACAAGGACTAGTCACAAAGTTTGCTTAGTAACACAAGTAGAGTAAGCTTTTTGCCATACATTATTTCTTTTAAAAGGAGCACTATCCATTTTGCACATAGCTAGGTGAAACTTAAAAAACTAAAATGGGTGAAGTAATAATATAATTACAAACTCATGATAATAGGGCAGGTAGCAGACACTGACAGTTGGCTGATTTTGCTGCTATAGCAAAGGCAACAGTCATCTGATCCTAGTAGTTACTGAGGCCTGGTATATGTTGTTGTTGTTGTAGTTATTATTATTACTATTGCTATTACTATTATTTAACCTGAGGTTTTTTGTTGGAAGTTGGCAATACTTTGCCAGCTGTTGGACTGTTGGGATTATAGGTCTCCCATATCTTCCCAACCATTGTACATAGGTATGTTGTTCCTTTTCAAGGTTTCCAGCTTTCTTCATCCTTATTTAGGGATCAGACACTTACTAGTTAAGTACAGCAGGACTCAGACTGTGGGTTTTTTGGTTTTTTTTTTTCATTTTGGACTTAGCTGTCTCTCTATTTTCACTGCTTCATTTGAGGGACTATGAGGCATTAGCAAATGTGAACATATTTGCTGGGCTGGATTAGGCCTCCCAGGCTCTCATGTTCTCACTTGAAGCACCAGGTGAAGATGCAAGTCATCACCTGTGGGAAGGCCCTATGTGGTGTCCACCTGCAGAGCATACCAGCATCACCAGGAGGAATTTGCTGGGTCCCAATTCATGAGTTCTTGGCACTGCCACAGTCCTAATGCTGCTAATAGTTGCTGTTCTTTCATTCACTTACACAGGAGAAACCCATCACTAGGAGCTTCAAACAGAGCCCTTGTCAGATGGTTGCCAGCAGAGTATGAGGATGGTGTGTCGCTCCCCCATGGGTGGACAGAAGGAAAGCGTTTGTCTGGATTCCCTTTTCCACTGGTAATGTTTCTAACATTCGGCTAAAAATACAGTAACACCATTTAGGGATTCCCAGTGCTTGGATATTATCATAGTTCTCAAATGTAAGTTGAACCACTAGCATGGTGGGGATTAGCAGGCAGGAAGCTGAAATCTCATTTTTCAGGTGTCTTTTCATCATATCTCCACTGTGATTTAATAGACATACATTCTATCTTCCCATACTCCCAGGTGAAGCAAAGGAAAATTAATATAATTGCTGCAGAACCAGGGGACAATTTTCTAGGTAGAAACTCTGTGTGGGCATCCATAGGTGTGCATGATCTGTGGGTGTAAGTGTACAACTTCTGTAGTGCTTGGGGGGCAGAAGAAACACTGTGAGGTGGCTTCTTATCACTTGAGCTCAGTGCAATGAGAGCTGTAATGAGGAGCACTGAGATTTTCAGTGTCGGGTGCCTCCTGCTCATGCTTTCCTTGCAACTTTAAACTCTTATACTGTACAATACCATGTCTCGAGTAGACTTTTGACCACTTCTCTGTAGCTGTAACTGAAGAAACAACTAAGTGAAGATTTACAGTGGAAGGGGGATGAATGAGAAAAGAAGGATCTTGGGAGAACAGCTCTTGCTGTTTAAGAGGAGTTCACATTGGATCGTTTTTTGCTGGTGACCTCGAAAGCTGATGCGCTCCTTATGGCCATTTCTTAATACACATGTTTTGCCTTAATCCCTTGCAGGTTCGAAAAGTGTCAAATGAGATTGTTCGTTTCCCCCCTGAGCAGCTCAAGCTGGATCAGCAGAGATCACTCATGTTCATGCAGTGGGGCCAATTTATTGACCATGACCTGTCTTTCAGTCCCCACACTCCTGCTAGAGTTTCCTTCAGTGGCAAGGTGGACTGTGAGACCAGCTGTGCCAAACAGCCCCCCTGCTTTCCCATCAAGGTACGGCCAGCCAGGTTTTTTCGGGGAGGGGGGAAGGGTACCTATTTGCTAGCTGGGAGATTTTAATGACTCTCCCTGTGCTTAAGACGGGTGAATTTTAGAAGGCAGAAGAAATTATTGTGAGCATCCAGTCTGATGTTCTGTATAGGCCATGCCTCTGTCTGTGCAGATGCAACTGCCCCTTGTTGAGAAGCCTGCTTTCCAAGTCAAGTCTCTTATTGCTATCTAAGACATTGCTATCTGTCTTCAATTTATCAGGTTTCCTACTGGGATTATTTGTCTGCAATGGGACATGGATATGGCCAGGCAGTGGATAGTGTAAGCTGAGGTCCTCCTTGCGTGCAGGAGAGCGTGTCCCCCAGGGCTGCGGTCTATACACTTAGCTCCCTGCCGCATCCCTCGCAGGACAACCTCTCAGAGCAGGCCAGGGGTTGCTGCCTGTGAGGTGGCAGTGCTGGGTCCCAGGGATGGCCGTGGCACAACAGGCACAGTCACAGCTTCCCGCGCTTCCAACCATTAGCCCCATCCCTGATGGGATGGTTTTCCTCTGGAGGTATAGTGCAAGGCAACACTGATGTGTGCGATGGTTGCAGAAAGCAAGCCAGAGGCAGGGGCAGATGGATGTCAATACTCTGGTAAAATACCCCATAAACAGCAAATACATACTCATTCAATGGTTAAAGGCTGATTAGCACATGGGATGAGGAAGTAGAATTTCTACCATTGGAGGCTAAGGCATTTAGCTGGAAAGCATTGCAGTCACGTTAGTACCTACTTTGATTAATGTTTAATAATGTGCTTGGAGTTGACCTACTCAAACAGGAAAGACTCAGTCCTAATCATGGAAATATGAAGTATCCAGCAGTTATTGCACTCTCCAACAGTGGGAGAGATGTGCTTGAGATGACCTCTGAATCTTGATTTGTGAGGCAATGTACTGGGGGAAGGTAGGCACCAGATCCGCTTCTGCCCATGTCTGGGTGGGCTTAGACGTGCTCAGAAAACATATCCATCAGGTAGAAAGTGGGTTAAACACTGCACTGCAAAGTTTGAGTCCTGTGTACGCTGCAGGGCAGAGGCATGGTCCACCCTGCAGCCCTGCTCTCCTGCTAAGGACTTTTGAACATGCATCTCTTGCCCCTGCATGAAACTGCATTTCTTTCCAAAGAAAATTGTGAAGAGATAGGGCATCACCCGAGTGCCCAAGGTGTACTTAAGAATACGGTCAGCGTCACAATTTGCAAACAACTGCCCAGAATGTAAAAATGGACACTAAACTCCAGCATGTGAAAGGAGCGCTTGGGCTTGCAAGATTCAAGCAGATATGTACAAATACAGAGGAAAAAGTAGCCATAAGTCTATCTGTGTGGAAATGTAGGCATCTCCAGGCTTTCATGGATATGTGGGACTTGGGTTTCCAAAATAGCCTCTCTGCTCTGAATGTCAGCCTTCATATCTGTGACTTGACTGATGACCATCTTATCTACCGTGGGAAATATGTCTGCAATCATTCCTGTCTGGCTTTTCTTATCAGTGCAGAGATTATATGTCCCTGAAGTGGTGATGAATTATTCTTTTACCTTTTTGCAGATCCCACCCAATGACCCACGAATTAAGAACACGAAAGACTGCATTCCCTTCTTCCGCTCAGCTCCGGCTTGTGACAGAGGCATGGCAATTCGAGATCAGATCAACGCGCTCACGTCCTTTCTTGATGCTAGCATGGTATATGGGAGTGAAGTGCCTTTGGCCAACAGACTGAGGGACCAGAGCAACCAGCTGGGCTTGATGGCTGTTAATAAAAAATTCACTGACAGAGGGATGGCTCTTATGCCTTTTGACAATATGCAAAAGGACCCGTGTCTTATTGTCAGTGGGAAAGAGAAAATCCCATGCTTTATTGCAGGTAAGTTGGGTGATGGTGTCTAGAAGCTCCCTAACATTGAAACCTGGAGTGCTCAACCCCACTAGATTTATTTTATTTCTTTAATTGTTTGTTTTTTCTTATGTAAGTAGAAAGTGGGGCTCAACAAAACATCATGAAAGACTTAAACAGGCTGTTATAGGCAAGCTCTAGGTATGAGAGAGTTCCTCTCAGCTGAGCCTTCTTTGTGAACACGAGCCTGGAGTGAAACTCTCAGCCCTTAACCTACTAAGCACATGGTGCTGCCAAAGGGGCACTCGTTGCTCATGGATGGAGCTGAACAAATGCAGCAATAGCAACCTAATGTGAAGGTGCAGGCTTGTCTGTGCTTGTCATTTGGCAGCTCTCTCTCCCATCAAGGCAGGTGCAGGTGTGTTGGTGCTCAGCTCGGTCACTGCTGTGAAGCCCTTGTCTCTGCTGCTGCACTTTTCTGTTTCTTTTAACCATCACCAAGGGGAATGGGGCTGCACCGATTCTGCACTCCAGCTGGGACACAAGCACTTCAACGCATTGAGATGGCCTCCTGCTCCATTTATCAGCACAGTCTCCCAGGAGACCTTTATCTAAATTTTGTCAGACTTTCTCATCCTCTTGGCTATCTCTTCTTTCTAAGTTAACTCCTGCTGTCCTGCCCAGAGCCTCTCAAATCCATGTCCCTTGCTTCAAGCGAAATAGGGCACAGCCACCACCACTTTTCCATCTGCTGCTGTTTGCTGTCTTCTAATCTCCTTAGTGCATGGGCACCAAAACCATTTGATTCCCAGAACTCTGATCACTGTTCCCTTCTCCCTGGTGCCTGCTGGTACCATCATGCTATCACAGGCTTTCGGGCCCAGAAGGAGTAAGGTTTCTAATGCATCTTGTGAATTAGTGTCTCAGTCCTGTTTTTTTTCCTGTTTGTTTTGTTTTGTTTTGTTTATTCATTTTTCCTGAGTCAGTAGGACCTTCTTGCTAGCCTCTTTCTAGCTCTGACCACACGGGGCTGCTCATGTACCGGAGGAGAAAACTTAAAGGCATGACAAATTTCCTCAGATGTGGAGCTGTCCCAAATGTTGTCCAATCTCCTCTGGATGTCACTCTCTGGGTCCTTGGATGCCATCAGGGACTAGCAGTAGGACTGCTAGGATAGCTCTCTTTAGTAGCATCCTCCAGTTCCCTCATTCTAAACTCTCGGTGTTTTATATTTCCTTCTACCACTCAGATATATCTGTTTTCCCATCTATTGCTCCATGCCTTCAGCTGCTCCCTCAGTTCTGTGCATGTCTTTCCTCAATGAGGAGCCTGCAGGCATGGCAAAAGGTGGATTCCTAGTGAGGAACAGAAGAACAAGCAGGTATGTTGGTGCTTTCCTGCCTCCTCTTTTCATGAACTTCAATGGCTCATGAAAAGACTGTCAGGGGAACATCACGAATTCTGCTATGCCGAATGCAGGGGCAGAACTTTCCTTTGAGTATGTCCTTTTCTTCTCTAGGTGCCACTTCCCACTCTCGTCACCTGCTTGTTGTGAGGCTGTATGCCCTAGATGTTTGAATAAAGGTTTTTATTTTGTTTTATTTGGTATGTTTTGTAATTCATTCCTCTAAGGTTGGACTCATTGTGTGTGACTCGTCATTTACTTACCAAAGCTCTTGATCCTGTCTGCTTGCTTTGGCCATAGTTTCATCCATTTTAGGGGTGCCTTCTCACTCCTCTAGACATCCCAATTTCTCTCTGCTCATTCTCATTGCTGTCTTCAGCATTTGTACTCTGTCTGCAATATGGGACTCTGGAGGAAACCTACTCATATTTAATACCTTAAGTCATCTCTAGTAGTCCCTTTTTAACACACTTTTTTAACACGACCCATTTCTGGGTTCTATCTCTTTACAAGGCTAAACATGATGGTAGTGGAGTCTATGCTTTCGCTGTGTTAGTGGGGACATGTTTTCAGCTGGAGTGCTCCAAACCTCTGGGTCCAAATGCAGTTTTCCATCTATTATTGTGTGTTTCTTCTTTGTGATGAAGATATTGATAACATAAAACTTTTTGTGTGTGTATTGTCCTCCTCCAGTGGAAAGCAGCCAAGCACACATAGGTCGCTGGCAGTACAAATCTGCTCACTTGTGATACTTCTAGGTGATTCTCGAGCAAATGAGATGGTGGAGCTGGCGTCCATGCACACACTTTTCGTGCGGGAGCACAACCGCCTGGCTAGAGGGCTGAAGAGATTAAATCCCCACTGGAATGGAGAGAGGATCTACCAGGAGGCACGGAAGATCCTAGGTGCCATGGTCCAGGTATCAGCCCCAATGTCATATGTGCTACTGATTGCCCCAGCTCTTCCTCCCTGTCTTGCATTCTTACAAAATTCACATGATGGGCTTTTTTTTTGTGTGAAGAGTTTCTGAAGACTGCAGTATTTTGAGGTGCAAATGATCAAATGCCTTTTACCTTCCCCTTTGGTCAAAAGGAAAATCATCTAGTGACACCTGAAATAAGAAGCACTGACCCTGACCATTCGATGTCTCTCTAATGTTGAATCATCGGATGCTCAGAGAGATTGTGGAGTCTCCATCCTAGGAGATATTCAAAAGTCGTCTAGACAGGGTCCTGGGAAAAGTGCTTTAGGTGACCCTGCTTGAGCAGATCATCTCCAGCAGTCAGTTCCAGTTTCAACCATTCTGTGCTTCTGTGTGATTCTGTGTTTCTAAAGGCAATCCTTAGTCATCCCTAACTAGAAACCTGTCTTCTGAGTTGGCTTGACAACAAGTAAATAAATGAATAAATAAGTAAACACTTTCAGGAATGTCAGAAAGGTTAAGTTTTCAAAACTTAATGGAATTATTGAATTAATATATCCATGGGTATAGAGGAGGATGGTGCTGGCCTCTTTTCACTGGTGGCCACCAACAGAACTAGAGGAAATGGCCACAAACTGAAGCATCAAAAGTTCCACAGGAACTTAAGGAAAAATTTCTTAACAGTGAGGGTGACAGAGCACTGGAACAGGCTGCCCAGAGAGGTTGTGGAGTCTCCTTCTCTGGAGATCTTCCAAACCTGCTTGGACGCAGTCCTGTGTCACGTGCTCTAGGTGACCCTGCGTGTGCAGGGGTTGGACTAGATGATCTCTAGAGGTCCCTTCCAACCTTAATCATTCTATGATTCTATGATAGAAAAAATCTTAGCAGTGTTGAGTAAGCCAATGTGGAGAAAGTTAAACAATTGCACTAGAGTTATTTGCTCCCCTCATCATTTTCAGACCCATGCTTCCATTTTCTTGCATTTTTCAGGCAATTAAGACATTTTCATCCTACTGCTAATGAATTTATTATTTTTAGTTATCTTCTGCAGGCCTCTCAATATCCTAAGAGATCATCAGATCAGGGTTGGAAACCTCTGCTATGAGAGCACTAATACAGCTGCTTAGGGGTGGCAATAACATCTGTGTCAATACTGCTGTTTTGTTGTTGTTGTTGTTGTTGTTGTCATTTGAGGCATATAGAATGGGAGGGAATGGGGAAGAGTCGCTTTACCTTGCTGCTGGAAGTGACCTCTAACTATACTACTAGGGAATATTTAGGAGGATTTGGGAGGCATTGTTAGTTTTTATCTTTCCATAACCTCCTGAGCTGAAACCTAGGTGAGGAGCATGCCTGGGGATATCTGAGGGAGTGGGGAAGAGGTCCTAGAGCACACACAGAGGATGACTGCGGGACAGGAAGCAGCAGTGTCCAGGCTTCCTATTACTTGGTGTTGCTGCAACAATTACCTCTGCTTTGCATTTTCATGCTCCTGTCAGTGTCAGAGAATGCTGAGATTCCATCACGCACAGCTGGTGGAACCAGAAGCACCTTGCAGTGCTATGCCTGTGCCTGGAGCTGCAGCACTAGTTACATGATACAATGGCCGGGCAAAGCAGCAGCTTTGAATCAATGCCACAGAGCTGAAGAGATAGAAATGTCACTTAACAGTGTCACAAGAGATCCTCAATGGTTGGGTTAAGGTCTTATAAGGTGAACGAGAAGTTGGCTCTGCATACTGTCTCCACTCCTCATCTTGTGCTAGCTAAGTCTGCTACAGAAATCATTCTGAAGCAATCATTTTGAAGTGAGAACTCTCCCATCACCATGCATCCAAGGAAACTGATGTTTAAGCAAACAGTATTTCATCCTTTCCATGTTTTCCCTCTAGATTATAACCTACAGAGACTATCTGCCTCTTCTGCTTGGATCCACTTTCTGGAAAACAATACCTTCCTACCGAGGCTACAATGACTCTGTGGATCCTCGGGTATCCAATGTCTTCACTCTGGCTTTTCGTTTTGCACATGCTTCAGTTCCCCCATTTGTGAATCGCCTAAATAAACATTACAAGCCTGAGGGACCCAAAATCCAACTCAGCAAAGCCTTCTTTGCTGTATGGAGGATTGTGAAAGAAGGTAAAGTCTTTCTTGCACTGCTGAATGCATTCAGCCCTTTCAGCCCTCTGGAAGAGTTCTTGCTTCAGCTGGACTTAAAAGCAGTTTTCAATAAACGAGCTGTATTACCATTCCACAATGTAGTTGTTATCTGCAGTTAAAAAATGACCCATCTTATTTTGAAGTATACACCTTGATAACTTACTCAGTGTAGTCTGTAAGAACATTATTCAAGGTATTTTCTATTTAGTGTTTTAAGTGCAGGAAAACTGATTCAGTTATGTGGTATTTATCTCTTTTCCTAGGTTATCCAGTTTCTGTCTTTCATGCACTTTCTTTACTATAGCCAACATCTCATGTAACACGCTTATTTTTCAGGAGGGGAACTAGCGATAGAGCGTATAGTGAAATTACAGGAGCTCAGATGCCTCGGTTAAGGTGCAACAATTCCTGTACTATAAGGTTATAAGTAAATATAAGTGGTATTCAGCTTTCTCAATCCTCTTTTGCATACGCTTTCCAGCCTACACTCACTGTCACTGTGCGATTGTTGCAGGTGGTATTGACCCCTTTCTTCGGAGCCTGATGGCTAACCAGGCCAAGCTGATGACACAGCAACAAATGGTTGTGGATGAGCTCCGGGATCGGATGTTTGAGCAGGTCTCAAGGATCGGGTTGGATTTACCTGCACTTAACATGCAGCGTTGCAGAGATCATGGCCTCCCAGGTAAGCTGGTTGTGGGAGCCAGGGCATCCAAGGAAAAATAGATGAAAACCAGGCACTCTTGGAATTGATCACAGAGAAAGCTCTCCAAACTCCATGCACCTGCCCATGCTTTGACATGACCTCTCTTGACCGAAATTCCTCAGAGATCTTTCCCAATTTGCTCCATATACTGCTATAGATAAGTAAACAGGAAGTTATGGCATGAAGTTAGAGCCTGCTTGGAGCTGCAGGAGACAAATGGAGGACACAGTCACAAGAAACTTTTGCATTGCACAGACGGAAGTCAAGCGTTTAATAACTGACTTAGGTGCATTGTTATTTAAATAGCAAAACTAGGAATCATGAGTGGAACTGGGGCGGTAAGTGCACTGTGGCCTCTCTCCAAGCATTGTATGTCTCCAAGTCCATCTAGTCCAGCCACACAAGTTGGGAAGAGCAGATCATGATGTGTGGATCCCATTCTATTTTCTCTACAAAGACTGTAGGACAGAAAAGGACATGTCAGAACCACTCACAGGGCTCTGCAAGATGCAAAATAGTTGCAAGATAGTCTTGAGAAATAGATTAATGATAGGCCTTTACACATAATGACGGGTTGTTGGATTTTGGGTGTGCCAGTGCATAACAGTGCTATTATCAGGCTGATGAAAGATGCTTTGTCAGTAACCTGCTGGGAACGGCAATAAGGCTGACTTTGAAACTGTGATGAAAATAATGCTAAATTCACAGGCTCTAACCCCAGACAGATACTGGCATTACATTTGAATGCAATGATCAAGTCATAGAATTGCTGTGCTTTTCCACAACAGAGGGATTTGATTTTCCATGCTGCAACTAGGAGTAAAACATGATCTGAACCAAAATCTTGAGTTCCTATCTTCAGCTGCTGATTTGTTGTGATAGAATCAATATGTATATCGAGTGTAAAAAAAGATCCTAGTAAGACAAATGAAACTAAATCTGCAGAAGAACTTACCCACTACCATGTTGTACAGAAGGTGGTAGTATGAACATCTTGTCTAGATATGCTTTCAAAGAAAGTGACATCCTGAGTTTTATGAAGATCTCTCTTCTGTTATCTTCTGCCTGGGTTTCATGGGTTGCAGTTACGATCAGACAACAATTGGATATGGCCAGAGCCATGTGGGCACCCAGAAAACAGTTAGGAGCAGTCACAGCACACTCAAGGTGTGTTTTAGATGCCTGAATACAAATCTCTTTTGCTATTTGAAATGCCCTGAGGTCTTTCCTCTGGTTTTATGAAGCAGCTTCATCAATGTATGGTTCTCCTGCCATTCCTGTGTCACACTGTGAGAAGATTATTTCAGGTATGCTGTAACTCTAGAGCTTTTGCACAGGCATCTGCATCGGCACCAGTGGAAAAGCAAAACGGCAAGGGAAGGTGATAGAGTGACTCCCGCTTTGAAAGAAATTGCCATTCCCTAGACAACACTGAAATGTCAGGCAGGACACACTGGCTCTGGAGGAGTGGAAATACAATGTATTAACAGAAATACAGAAGAATCTGGAAAAAAAAAGATTTTAAAAATACTGAGAATGTACATGGGCCCTGCATCTGGGAGAGGAAAAGTGCCCTTCCCAGGAAGGAGGAATGAGTTGCTGACCACCCTTTGCTCTAATACTTGGTTTTCTTGCAGGTTATAACTCCTGGAGACAATTCTGCGGGCTCTCAAAGCCTCACAATTTGAGAACGCTTGCTCGAGTGTTGAAGAATTGTGGTCTGGCAAAGAAATTCATGAAACTCTACGGGACACCAAAGAATATTGACATTTGGATTGGGGCACTTGCAGAGCCCTTTGTGCCTGGAGGAAGAGTTGGTCCTCTCATGGCTTGCATCATTGGCACCCAGTTCAGGAACCTACGTGATGGAGACAGGTAAGAGAAGAGCCAGGTATGCAATCCCCAGAGGACAGGGGGAGACTGGGCTTACACAGATTTGTGCAGTTTGAAAATTGTTTTAGTTGTTTTTTATTACTCTCATAGATGTTCTTTTGCCTCTCTGGCAATGTTCTTATTTTCAGACTAGGTCTTTAATGATTGGGATCCTAGGTTGAGATCCCTTCCCAGACAACTGTCTGTTCAGGCTGTTCAGCTCATCTGGCAGTCCTTATCCTATTTCCAGACTAGACAATCGTTAAAGATTGGGATCCCTTCCTAGACAAGTGTTTTCTCTCCCAGACTGTTCAGCTCATCTGGCAGTCCTTAT